ACATTTGATCTGCTCAGTTTTGGTTTCACATTGCAATTTAGCAAGAACACAAAAGACGTTTTCATGGCACACTTGCATCCTGTCATCATCACCTATGTGGGCTGTTTCTCCCTGTACTTGACATTGATCGTTTTGTAGAGCATCTGGCACCAGCATGTTGTCAATTTGGTGGTTAGCCTTCTATTTGAATGGAGAAAAATGAAATCCTCTCTCATCTTCTCAGAAAATAAGGTATAAGTTTTGGTATTTTTATGCATTTTTTCAAAATGACTTTTGTCTTTTTTGTTGGACCAAAGTACAATAAAATATTTTGTCCCCTCTCACCGTTTGCTACAAAGGCTCATTTTTACTTCTCTTGTCGTTATTTTTTTTCTTCTACTGTTCAACGGTTGAAGATAGCCTGCCTCAACGTCCTGTAATTAGTCCAAAAATTCGAACCATCCAAAAAAGTGTTTTGATGCTGCAAAAGAACCAAACCATGCTTCACTTTGATCTGGACCGAGACCACCTCTTTTGGTCGGACCAAATTATGATCCTTTGGTCTTGACCGTGACCTGAGGCATCTTTCACACCTGCTATTTTGGTTCAGACCAAACTGAAAAGTCCAAATAAAAAAAAAAAATACAAATCCATATAGATATGAAAGCACCCTTACAAAATCAACAAAATATGCAATTTGACTGGGGGTATTCAAATGTTTGCAAAGACACAATTTGATATAATAATTTCACATTTATTGAACCAAACACATAAATGCTGCCAGAGATGTGGATCCTAAATCTGAATCTTTTTAGGAGCGGAATTTGAATTTCATGAAAAGTTATTGTTGATAAACTGGCTTGACAAAATAACTGTTCTTTATCTTATTTTGTGATAAACCAGGATGCAGTTTTGAAGCTAGATTCACATAACTTAGAGACTCACATACACATCATAGCAACACCTTAGCAACCACTTGGGATAACATAATGACCAATCGACATCTTAGAAACTACTTACTAGGATACTATAGTAAAGGCCTAGCAACATCTTAACAACCACCTTGTACTGTATATCACAGCAATGACATTGTCAAGTCAACTTCACAAGCTTTCTCCTTCTATTTGTATTCATACTTTGTGTAAAGAAAAATTTACATTTTTGCCAATATTTGCTATTTCCTCACATCAAAACAAACAGAAAAACAGAGAAGAATGTACAGAATGTAAATCAAATGTAAATGAAATTTACTGCATAACTCACTCTGGTCAAAATGGCCATTAAGTACAAGTTATGCATTTTCAGGAGATTTCTGATGATATATAAGACAGATACATTTTTTTTTAGTTGCATAAGTAAGTAGAAAGCCAAAGGAAAAAAGTAATAAGAAAAAAAAAGTGTTTCCAAAAGTTCAAACATCATCAGTAAATGCTCAACATCATTGAAAGTCTTTGGGATTATTTGGAGCGTGAGAACCAGGAAATACAACTGAAAAAAATCTTTAGAAAAACAGAGCAAATGTCCAGAAAAGAACAGAAGCTGAAATAAAAGCAAAAGCTGGACACACTAAATACTGAATAATAAAATATTTTAATGTTTTATTTTATTTGCTTAAGGCTTCTGGTAAAATATATTTCTTGTTTTTTTTCACATCTCTGAGAAATGAACTTGCTTAATGGCTGTTTTGACTGGAAATAAAATAAATGAAGGGTGGTCTCTGAATTTTGCAGTACTGTACATCAATATGTAAATACTTAATTACATTTGAATATGAACCTCTAAGGTTTAACAGGATGCGACCTGGATTTAGCCTCAACTTTGAGTTTAAAGTGATGTGGAATGGTGTAGCTTCAGAGAAAAATGCAAAGCAGATATATGGCTTCTGTTCAGTAAGAAATTAAATGTTATGCTTTTGATGTAAAACCAGATACTTAGGCGGCGAGTTGGAGATGGTGGATCCGATGGCCGCGGGACTGATTAGAGTCATCGGGATTGTGGGGCTGCCTCAGAGTCCCTTAGCTTTACAACCTCCCCTCAAATTACACCATTAACATTTCAATATTACTCAGCACTTCAGGCTACAGCCAGTGCTCACTGCAACTGCTATAAATGTATAATTAATACGGCATTCCATATGCAATAAAAAATGAGTATGTGCACATTAGAGACAACACTATTAATGTATTCAATAAGGAAATTAGCATAAAAAGTGTGGGGTATGTGGAAAGGCCAGTGCACTTGCAACAGCTTCATTGCTGACCATGGACTGAAGGTTATGAAACAATCACTATGGTCACTGCAATATAGGCACTTTGACAAAGGCAGTTAAGAAAACTAGTCTGCACACTTTGAAATTAATCTTGCAATGACATCAAAATAGAAGGTATATGCAATATGAATACATAAATCAGCTCAAAATTAGATCTAGAAACCTAAAAACGAAAAACTACTAGACTACAATCCTAATCTAACACAACAGATCAAGCTAATCAATCTCCTCTGGAATATCGAGGCCTGCATGCTAGATTAGAATAGTGATGCTAACCATGTCCCATAGTCATTCATTCCAAGCTTGCACAAGACTACCTGATTTTCACTAATGAGCTTCTAATGACCTCCTTAATGAAGAAACAGGCCTAATTAGTGAAATCATGGGGGTTGTACCAGCCTGAAAAGGAAACCTGCAGACATTGAGACCTAAATGAACACAGCTGAGAAACCCAGGCCTACTGCGGGCAGCAGTTTATAAGTGGAGAAAACAGTGAAGAAAGTAGTGGATTGAAATGAAATCTAATTTTTTTGTTTGTTTGCTTATTATTTTTACATTCTGCACAACTAAATGGTTAATGCAGACAAAGTCATTCAGACTGGTTTGATGTGAAATGAGCTGTTACAGAGTCAGAATTGTACACAGTGGTGGTGATAGGAACCAAACGTCTGAAGCTTTTTAATAGCAACATCCCAGAATTGCTATTATAAGAAATGGTTATGACTACGCTGCCTGATGCCTGGGACATTGTTTCATAATAGTTTTGACATCAGATTTTCCCTTTAATACATTCATGGTGGAGAGGTACATGCAGGATGTTGTAAGGCAAAACAGTCCCTTATTTTTCAGATTTACCCCTATTTACTCTTATCAACATTACATACAGTATAAAAATTCTGAAGATATGTGTAGGTTTGTTTTTTTTGGACAACAGATAAAATAAAATGGTGATGTTTCACAACCTCTGGTTCCCATCACCACCATCACCCATACCAAATCTGAGTTGGTAAGTTACTCTACAATGAAACATTTCACACAGGAAACAAACTTAATTACAGCATTTTTTTTTCTGAGTTTAACTGAAAAAAAAACATAACATGTAAAATGTGCCCTAACTTTTGCACAGGCCACATTTTGTTTTATCTTTTCCAATATGTAAAATTCAGACATGTAAAATTCACAATTAAACAGTAATTGTGCATTATAATGTGTAGAACCATAGAGGACGTGTACTGTGGATTTTTTTTTTTGGGAATTTCCATGTTTCAAGTAACATAAGCTATTATAAGCTGAGTCTGTGTATTTTTAGGTCTACGACAGTCTGACAAATGCGTTTCCAGGCCTGTCGAGGCACAACTCCTGTTATTTTTCAGAATATCATCACTGTCCGAAAAATGTTTCTGCATAATGTGATCTCATCTGCCCTTCACACTGAGTGTGTTCACATGCACTCAATAATCTGATCATAATCGGGTTTCTGCAGTTATCCAATTATTCAAATGGTCATGTAAACACCATAGTCCAATCTAGAAGTTTGATTACAAAATCCAATAAAGAGAGCTGGATTTTGGCTCAGTAATCAGATGTCTCAGTGTATGTAAACTCTTACTCTGATTTCTTTCAGATTTTTCAGCCTGCACATGTATAAAAACAGGCAGCGGTACCTGAAATAAGCAAGCAGCGTTGCCCTGAGATGATAGCAAAACACTTTTGGAGTGACACTGAAACCAACTACATTCTCAATTAAATGAAGTATTCTTCATCTTCAAGATAATGTATGTTCATATTTTCAGGTAAAGTAGCGCAATGTTTTAAAAAAAAACAAACATTAATTGTTTTACATTACGATTACATCACATCTTCTTCTGTGAGTTTATTGGCTGGTTGCAAAGCATTTCCCATTACCTGATTACTCAAGTGCATTTAAATGCGTTGATCGGATTACTGACAAAATCTGATTTTCTGCAGATATATTAAGATTATTAAGTGCATGATGGACAGAGCAGTGTTCGAACACAGACTGGGCCATAGCTGATGTCACAACATGTCATTGAATAAACAACTACATCACTGCATCTGGTCTCCAGACTCTCTTCATTGGCACAGAAAAAGATCTGCAACAGTACTTATGTTTCACTTATTAAAATCAACAAAATGTGTAATTTGAACAGGGGTCCCCAGACTATTGCACACAACTGTACATTTCTGTGACTGTAGAAATTTTTAAAAATGGGTGGAGTTCCCCTTTACATTTACTTTCTTCAAATATGCACTTCGTTGTCACATAAATAAAAGATATTACATCAATACATTTATTGCCAGAAGGCAAACTTGTGTTGATGTGACACATTTTATTCACAACCAATTCTCTGAAACAGTGACTTTATAGGTGCCTGTTACTTTGGTTTTCAAAGTTTCTACTGGCCCAATCGTCACAAAACATTCACACATTATAATAGGCAGCTTTTTCCTTCTTTAAAGTCCATTTATTACGCCCAAATGTGGACATAACGCACTGACTTTAAATGCAGCAGAGCCTCAGGTCTACCCAAAGGCCCTCGTGTCTCAGAGTATGACAGCCTAGCCTTCACCACAAAGATATAGACAAAGCATTTTAAAGTCGATCTATTAATAATTGACATGCTCCAAGAGTTTGGGGCCCGCAAATGAAATACAATTATTATTTAATACAAGATAAGTGTCACCGAGGCCTCATGATAAATTTAAAGGAAGTGCCTTATTAAGTCCTTACCTTCACCGTCTGTCCGGCCTCGGGTCCGTCCTATTGGGAACAGAAGCAGATAATTAGAAACGGTTGGGAATTAGGGAATATCTCGGTCAATAATTCAGCAGCATTTTAATTTCAGATGAATCGAGGCGCTGCTGTGTCGCCCCATGAATCTCAAAGTGTGTTTTCTTTCCTGTACCTGTTTTCGCTAATGTCCTTGTCCTTGGCAATCAAGGAAGAAAAAAGAATATTAGTTCTTGAAAGGCTGTGAAAGTGCAACTTTCAGAAATACGGCAAAAGTATGTGGACACTACTCCTAATTACCAAGTTTCAGCCACTTCCATTGCTAAAAGCTGTATAAAATCAAGTACAAAGCCATGCAATCTCCATAGACAAACACTGGCAGTAGAATGGGTCATACTGAAAAGCTCAGTGACTTTAAATGTGCCACTTTCATAGGATGTCACTATTGCCACAAGTCAGTTTGTGAAATTTCTGCCCTGCTAGATCTGCCCCAGTCAACTGTAAGTGCCATTATCGTGTAATAGAAGGGTCCAGGAGCAACAACACCTCAGCCACAAAGTGCTGAACCTGTCACCGTCAGAAAAAAACAGAACTGAAAACTTTCATCTTTGAGAGACAGGGGAAAAAATCGAGCTCCAATCTTCCTTCAGATCTGAAAAGAAGAAGTCATTACTGAGAAAAGGGAATAAACAAAAAAGAAGAACACTTTCAAATCAAACAGAGAAGCTGCTGGTGTGCTCCAAACAATGGACTGATCACTCCAGAGTCCAGACCTCAACATCACTGAATGTGTTTGGGATTACTTGGATTGTGAGTGTGGACTCACAATGATATTAGATTATATTAAGCTAGGCTTAATATATGTTAACTATACACAGACAGGCCACTTCATTAAGTACATCTTGTTTCTACACTCAGGATCCACTGTACTTACCATATAGGTGCACTTTGTAGTTCTACAATTACAGACTGTGGTCCATCTGTTTCTCTGTATACTTTGTTAGCCCCCTTTTACCCTGTTCTTCAATGGTCAGGACCCTCAGAGGACCACCACAGAGCAGGTATTATTTAGGTAGTGGATCATTCTCAGCACTGCTGTGGCACTAGCGTGATGGTAGCATGTTAGTGTGTGTTGTGCTGGTATGAGTGGATCAGACACAGCAGGGCTGGAGTTTTTAAACACCTCAGTGTCACTGCTGGACTAAGAATAGCCCACCAGCCATAGTCCTCCAGCCAACAGCGTCCTGTGACCACTGATGAAGAACTAGAAGATGACCAACACAAACTGTGCAGCAACAGATGAGCTACTTTCTCTGACTTTACATCTACAAGGTGGAGCAACAAGGTAGGAGTGGACAGTAAGTGGACATAGTGTTGAAAAACTCCAGCAGCACTGCTGTGTCTGATCCACTCGTACCAGCACAACACACACTAACACGCTACCATCACGCTAGTGCCACAGCAGTGCTGAGAATAAACCACCTTCCAAATAATACCTGCTCTGTGGTGGTCCTGTGGGGGTCCTGACTTGTGAAAAACAGGGCAAAAGGAGGCTAACAAAGTAGAGAAACAGATGAATTACAGTTGTGGAAGCACAACATGTACCTATATGGTAAGTAGAGCTGATAAAATGGACAATGAGTGTAGAAACACGGAGGTGTATTTAATGAAGTGGTCAGTCAGTATGTTTTCTGCATTTTTCCTGTTGCTGAAAAATGAATAAGCTATACTTAATGATTGTTTTGACTGGAAATAAAAAATGAAGACTGAATAATAAAGACAGCAATAAATACACCATCAGAACATTTGTAAATTTTAGACCTTATCTCCTCCCTCTACATAAGAGCTGTATCAGAAACTCAAAGTTCCCAAAGGGTTACGCAATAAACACTTTGGATCTTTTTAATTTTCCACAGCTCTTTATTTCTACAAGAAAATGAAAGCCCTCCGGCACGGCACCTTTTTTATTGGGCGCCGTGTCTACAGTGATGCCTGGGACAATCTCCCGAAAGCAGACACATCTAATCTCCCATCTCGTCTCACTGCCTCTGAGTGAAGGAATATTGATTATTCCCTTTCGTCAGATAAGTGAAATGATTTTCTTTTGTTAGGCCGTACAGGCACAGCAGGAGAGAACCGCTTGGAATTAGCATACATATCAAAGGTTATGCAAAGTAAAGGTACAAAAACGTCTTTCTCCCTCTCCCTGATTTGTTCATACATAATTCCAGCAGGTGGTGTTCTTCCGTTGGTTCTCAATGCATTTGAGGCTTACAGATCACGTTAAGAAAAGCGCTTAAAGGACAATAAAGGCAGTTGTTAAAGAACAATGGGGAGTCCAAACGCGATGCCGCTACCTGGCCTTTATATGCTGTCATATTAGCATTCATTGCCAAAGTTACTGATGCGTACGCGTTTCCATGGTAACTGTGGCACAGTTAGAGATCCGTAGGCCTTTAAGGTGGATTCTAGATTGTGGATTTTAAAAAATAATAACAATAATCAAGACAATAAAAAGAATTAAGGTCTGAAATGATGCTGGTGCAGAACATCAGCCATCATTGTTTACAATAGCTCACAGAAGAGGCTGAGTACAGTGCTGGGTGAGATATCGTCCACAGAGAAATATCAGTATTGGTGCCAGAAAATAACATTGATTTTAAGTTTGAGTGCTGTTACTGGATAAAGCTAGCAGTTTGTTTTTGTTGTTTATGTTCTACTTTGTTCTTTCTGTAATGTGTAATGTACAGTCTCTTATAGTATAAGAACAGCAAGGCCAATTCTTTTGCTTTTGCTACACACTGAAAACATTGGGTTTGAGATCAAATGATGAATATGAGACGACAGATCAAAATTTCAGCTGATATTTATGACACTTTTTCCTATTTCAAGTGAGCAAAAATATGGGGCTCCCGATGTGGTTCCAGAGGGACCGCAAGATTGGTGATACAAAGATATATACCTCATAAAACAGTTGTTTCCGTGTTACATTTTGCTTTGTGCAAAAAAAACTATGAATTTGCGAACCTTGGAAGACTCAGCCAACATAAAATAAAAGGGTGAGGGTCTTCTGATAAACTCTAAATGGAGAAACGCTCTTTAGTCAACATATCGCCGCTTATTGCTCACTTATCCCTATCAACCACCTTATATAGGGACTGCTATACCCGGTTGACTTTTGCTCCACCCCCACAAGGAAAGTATAGTGGTGGTAGTCCGATGTGACCACAACTTTACGTAGGACTATGACTTTCTATTGGGTGAGCTTGTCGCTGAAGGAGGGTCTTTATTGAACTAAAGGGCTGAGTGAGTGCTATACTTGAAGCACTTTTTGATGTAAAGCCAAAAATCAGTGGTGCTAGCTAAGAACTGCAAGCCCAGTTATCCCACTAACTGACTAGACTTATTATTTGATTATTCCTCTGTAATATAATGTGTATATTGGTATGTGTGGGACAGATCGCAGGGGCGAGTAGAGGAAAAGGGGTCACAAAATATCTTCAACCCTAAAAAAGGTGAATACAGGGGTTAAGAACCTCTGGTTTATACAGTTAATAGCTCTGAATGTCTGCTCTTGGTTTAAGCCCTGGGTTTTGCCAATGAAAAATGCATTTTTTGTTAAAAAGCACAGACTAACATGAAGACCAGGGAGCTGCCAATAGAAGAAAAGCAAGCTATTTTGAAGCTGAGTAAAGGGGGAAAATCGATCAGAGCCACTGCACAAGCTTTGGGCCTAGACAGAACAATTTGGAGTGTCCTGAAAAAGAAAGAAACCACTGGTTTCTTCTTTTTCAGACATCAAACGGGTCGACCAAGGAAAACAGCAGCAGCTGATGAAAAACCCAAAAACAACAGTCAGTGGCATCACCATCAACATCCACAGGGCAGGGGTGGAGGTATCACAATCCACCGATTGAAAAGACGTTCAGAAATATAAAAGCTATACTACAAGATGCAAACAACTGATCAGCAGTAAGAATCAGAGGGCCAGATTGTAATGTGCAAAGAAATACAGAGATGAGCCACAAAAGTTCTGGAACCAAGCTTTATGGACAGATGAGACCAAGATTAACCTCTAAAGGACAAAGCATGGAGAAAGAAAGGATCTGCTAATGATCTAAAACAAAAAATGTTAATCAGTAAAGCATGGTGGAGGTAGTGTCATGGCTTGGGCTTACACGACTGCTTCTGAAACAGGACAAAGGTTATTGTAGTGCTCCAAAAAAAACGTACAAAGCGGGTTACTTCTGGAACAGGCTCAATAATCTTTACTGATGATATAACTCATGATGGTGTCAGTAGAATGAATTCAGAAGCCTACTGAAACATTCTGTGTGCCAGTTTATAGAGAAATGCCTCCTAGTCACTTGGAAATTCATTACAGCAAGACAATGACCTGAAAGACACTGCAAACACAACAAAATACTTTATCAGGGGAAAAAAGAGGACCAGAAGAGGAGACTGTAGGGAGAAACCCCTCAAAATAAACATTTTATTTACCTTAATTTACTTTAAGATGGTCTGTTCCTTATACATTTGCACCAAAGGTGCCATGTTCTAAGTTGTTTAGCACATCTAGACTTAAATTGCAGGAAACAAAAGCTGAAATTCTGATCTATATTCTGATCTCACATTAATCTTTTGATTTCAAATCGAAATGTCTTCAGTGTATAGCAAAAACAAAAGAATTAGCTGTTTCAATATGTTTGGAGAAAACCATATTTAATTGAATATTTTTCTTTATTAATATATTTTCTTTATTAATATATATATATAAATTCTATTTTTACAGTGTTCAAAATCTGTCAGTTAACTACAGTCATTTGCTATTTTCCCAGAACATTTTGAATGAATAGTCAAAGAAAACAAACAGTAAGCGAATAGCAATCTTCCTTTCTGGACAGACTCAAAAAGATTGACTACATTCACTTAAATATCATACAATCCCACACTTTTTGTCTAGCAACCCATGCAGACTGCTCACCTGTATGGCAATGGTCAATGACGATGCCTTGAAGTGCTTCTCCACGATGTTGGCCACTATCTGGGTGGTGGTGAACAGGTCAGCCACTTCATCCGGACGCAGGTCACGGAACCGTTCGACCGGCCTTAATGGACACACTAAGACATCTGTAACAATGACTGGTCAAGGAAAAGTTCTATAAGCTCAGCAGTAACACAGTCAAATCACACAAGTATGTTCAAAACACAGGTTTCTCAGTACCCTGGAATTTCAAACCTGACTGATAAACCACTTGGTAGAGGTCAATATTATTATGATTAGGTTATATGAATTATATTAACATCACATTAAGGTTATATTGTAAAGTTATATTATATGTTACTCAAAAAAAATAAAAATAACAAGTATTTGTAGGAGCATTCCACCCACTGGCCAAGTCATGACCAAGTCTCCCCCCTCACACGACCGTGAGGGCAAATGCTAGTTCATGCTTCCTCCAAGACACTTCCTAGCATAACAACTGCTGCTAATGCAATGCAATATCATTCCGCAGATCCACATGCTTGGACGAGAATGCTGCCAATTCTGTTACATCTAACAGACACCCACATTGGTTAGCATCATACAGAGGGATGAGGGACTACCTATTCTATCCACCAGAGAGTGAGGTCAAATACGCTGATGCTAATATCCTGGACTCCCAGCCACAGATGGCTGGGGCATTGCCAAAGATCAAACTAGTGGCAGTACAGGCTGAACAGACAAACACAACACACTATCATCGCCAAAATAACAAAAACATGTAAAATGCACTTAAACACAAGTACTAGCATGATGATAACACATTATAACACAAATACATTTATGTGAAGGAAATTGATCAGAGGCATTTTATCCATTATGGGCAGTGGGGCAGCGCCCCACCAATGTCCACAAGCAAAAAAGAAGACATGACCATTTTGAAATACATTACTCTTAGATTCTCTGTAAGTTTTGATCTCTGGGTGCCTCTGACCAACCAAGTAACCACTGCTATTCAAAATTAACATCTTGATTGACCAACGATTGACCACATTTTCTCCTTTTGAAACTTCTGATGGCAGATATAGTAAATACAGTTTAGCTAACATAACATAGTCTCCAAATTCAGTTAAGATGCTAATTTTGAAACTAATGTTTAAAAAATTAAATCTTAAAATATGTTGACTTTTAATGTCTTGTTAAAATGTTTCAATATGTCTGTTTAACATTATAAGACCTGTTTTGTTAAGTATCCCCAAAAGGGTTTTATAATTATATGCTATAGTATTTTCACATTAGCAGTTTATTAGTATTGTATGTAATTTTTATTATGTTGGTTGTTATTGTCATTCAGCTCATGGTAAAAGGTTTGTATAAACTGGCATGTTGTTTTCCATAATCATGTTTTTGGAGTGATATCTGTTGAATGCTAAGCTGATTGTGTTTTTGATCAGGCTGGCTGTGAAAGGGTTCAGTTGGTCTTATGCTGGTCATCTCTTGGTTGATGTGCTTGATGCCAATAATATGTGCTGTCCTGCTGTTTTGTCAGGCTTTTGCATCAGTGCACCTGATGGACTTGTCTTATAACTCACGATCACTTAAGGTTAGCAGGCTGAAGGTGCTCATTGATTCCATCGGTCAGCACAGTGTGACGTCTAGTGGAGTTCTATCAGTTTATATTATTATTTGTTATCAGAATTTACTGATCCTTAAAATTGGCATCGGCATCAATGTACAAAATTTTCCTATTGCTCGGGCCTGACCAAAATCAAGGTCTTTTCTACACACAGCCGCTTGGTACACACACAGTAATGACGAGGATAGGGGGGTTAAAAAATGGTAAAAATGTTCAATTTGAGACAAAACATTGAATTAATGAAGCTTCTTCCCTTTTGCTTGAGTTAACGGAGTGCTTTTCGACCGTAACCACGCCAACGTGAGGCGCAGACAGAAATGAAGGAGAGATGTGAACCCTGTATTCTTCTGGACCTGCCCTGAATACTAATGAAGAAACACATACACATTCGCACAGCACTGTAACCACAGTACCAGTCAAGCTATTGGAATATAAATGGCTCTGATGGGGGAAGATAGGCTCAATTTGAAATGGAAATGGATGACCGATCCCGATAAGCATCACCAATCAAGAAAGAAAGCTTCGAGTACAGCATCACTTACATACGCACGCACATACACAAAGAGAAGTCGCATATATTAAAATGGCTTTGTCAGAAACGTCGTATAAAAGAAAGATTTTGGGACTGCCAGACCTCACTCTTTCATTTCCTAACCTTTCCATCTCCCTCTCTTCAAAATCAAAGCATTTGACTGAAACTCTTTATGGGGGGTGAAGGGGGCAGCGCTGGAGTTTACTTCTAAATAAATCCAACCACCAAGTTAAAGTACTGCAAGAAACACAGTCCTCTGAAGGCAGAAAGGTCAAGGAACATATTGCTCGGGAAGTTTCACAATCCGCAAGACACAGCAAAGCAGCGTAGAGGAAAGTAATCAAGCCTTTGCGGCTATTTTGAGAGAAGCGCTAGGCTAACAGGCGCTAGCACTTAAGGAGTAAATGTCCAAGGGATGAAAAACATGCTGCAGCTGCCTCGCGGGTCACTGGATCGATAGCCGTGTTCTGGCTACTTCTACCCATAAAAAACACAAACCATTTCTTGGAATTCAGGTTTCAGAGCACTCAGACAGACACAAGGCAACAGAAAGCTACACCATGCTAGCATGAGCTAGATCGGGTCAATATAAACAGAATGTTTAGTGGAACCAAAGTCTCTTTAGAGGAGTCTTATCAACCAGTCCAAAGCCACGTTTGTACCGCACCTCCACCGTTTAGTCCGTTTGAGAGAAAGAACATCTAAAAGTTATAGAATTTTTACAGTTATGTAGATAAATCACTGCTATGGGAACAAAATCTCGTATCTCCAAAATGGTAACTTTACAGGAGAAGGAAAAAATCGACTTTACTTTCAATGTAAGTCAATGGAACCAGACTTCTTACCAAGTAATTTTGGGCCTTTTCCTTTGGTCCATTCATCATGAAATTAACACATAATGTAAAGGGTTACAGGGATTTTCAAACAATGTCAAAAATTTAAAAGGTTAAAAATGGCAAAAATGGAGATATAAGGTTTTGTCCCAACAGCAGCGATATACACTTAAATATAGCATTTTTTCTGCTACTTTTATTGCAAAATTTTTAGTTATTTGCTAAATGTAACATGTTAGAAAAAACTACAACGTAGAAACTTAACTTTGCACAGGCGACATTAATTTTTTTCAAAATGACAGTTTTCATTTTTTTCTCAATATGATAAATTTAGCATTAAACAGTACTAGATCAATGAGCTAGCATGTTCTCGTTCTTTGTCTTCTGATGTTTTTTCCACATTGCATTCTATCTTTCAAGAGCAATTAAGAGGATATGTTAACTTTTCACTAAGAAGGCCAACAAAACATTTGATGGGGGGCCTACACTTGTGCATATGACTGTATGTACCTACACTTTTGCATATGACTATATGTTGGCATATATTTCTATATCTAAAAATGACACATTTACATATATTTAGACTATAAAAAAAACTTATCGTTTAAAAAGAAATGATAACTTTACAGGAGAAAGAAAAATGTAAACATTGATACATTTCCTTCGGGATCAATGAAGCATGCATCCATCCATCCATCCATCCATCCATCCATCTATCTATCTATCTATCCATCTGTCTGCCTGTCTGCCTATCAGTCCGTCCGTCCGTCCACCCGCCCACCTATCTGTCTGCCTGCCTACCTGCCTATCTATCTATCTATCTATCTATCTATCTATCTATCTATCTATCTATCTATCTGTCTATCTGTCTGCCTGTCCGCCTGTCTATAAGTCCATCCGCCCGCCTATCTGTCTGCCTGTATGCCTGTCTGCCTGTCTATAAGTCCGTCCGCCCGCCTATCTGTCTGCCTGCCTGTCTGTCTGTCTATCTATCTATCTATCTATCTATCTATCCATTTAATGGAAGTTAATATAGAAATTATTTATTCAAAATAACTTTGGAGCATTTCTATTGGGCCATGCATCATCAAATGTTGGCACAATGTAAAGAGCAGCTACTGATTTCAAATTATATCAAAAAATGGAAAGACAAAAAACAAAAATGGAGACATGAGGTTTTGTTCTCATATGATGTTATGCAAAATGTTAGCTTGAAGCACACTTTAATAGAAGCTATTGACCTGTTGCTGAATGTTGTCACATTTATGCAAAATGTTTTTCATTTTTTTGACACAATTTAAAAAGACCAGTTGCCCTTCATGATGTGTCAAGTGTCAAAATTTCATGATAAACAGACCAACAGAAATGGCCCAAAGTTACTTGAAAAACATTTATTCATTCATATTCATTTACTTCCATTAAAAGTTAAGAACACTTTTCCAGCAGCAAGAAGGGCCTGGGTTTGATTCCCCGCTCAGGCGACCAGTGTCCTTTCTGTGTGGAGTTTGCATGTTCTCCTCGTGCCTTTGTGGGTTTCCTCCTTTTGCCCCAGTTGCCCCCCACAATCCAAAGACAGTCAGACTAATTGGAGACACTAAATTGCCCCTACACTGTTAGAAATAAAGGTTCTGTGCAGGTACATTTTTCGTTTATCAAGGTACAAACAATGTAAATGTTCCCTCAAAGATACAGCAGTGATTTTAAGGTCTGTTTGTGCACCTTAAATAAGTTTTCCTAGCTGAAAAGTACATATTGGTACCTTTTCATTACCTAATGTTTTAAAACAGAGCAATAAAATAAAAAGCCTATGTGTGTTGAGTTAATACAACTTACAAAATATAATTTCAATGGATTTTGGTACAATTATGATCCCTGACTTAAGGTACTGAGATGTACCCTTGAGAGTACCACTCTAGTGACAAGAGGGGTCCAGTGATAGATTCATACCTTTTTCCTGAAAGTGTGTGTGAGAATGTGTGTGTGTGAATATGTATGTCTGTCTGTCTGCCCTGTGATGGACTGGCAGCCTGTCCAGGGCGTTTCCTGCCTTCCACCCAGTGACTGCTGGGATAGGCTCCAGCACCCCCCACGACCCAGGAGGATAAAGCAGTTCAGAAGATGAATGAATGAATGAAAGCATTAATA